GAAGGAAGGAAGGAAGGAAGGAAGGAAGGAAGGAAGGAAGGAAGGAAGGAAGGAAGACCATACCAAGAAGTATGTCTAAAAAGCAGTTAATAAACATGGCATATTAATTATGGCTATTGTTTTATTAATTTGACTGTAAGCTTGGGTCTCCTTCTTGCTTTAGAAAGGGCAGCAGCCACTCTGGGCAAAATCTTGTCATTTCTGTTTGGTGACTAAAACCCAGCATACCTCTGACTCAGGAAAGGAGCCAACATCCTAAGCCTTACAGTTTCCTTCCTTGTGTCTCACCATTAGTGGTCTATTGGTTGATGCCTTTGAGACTGAAAGTATTCTGTTGACTGAAACTGCACTGCTTGCAATTCACAGAGCTGAATGTGGTTCACCAGCTCCAGGCTTTGGTATTAGACTTGCTTGTATACTGCATGGCATAATCAGGGAATGCTAGCTTGTTTTCAAGCCAAGAGTCAAATTTTCCTGTTAAGCTGCATTGCTAGATGCTGTACTTCAAAAAATGGCTGGGGTGAAGGCATAAGCAAAATTTGATTTAAGTTAATTTACAATAAAGCTAAGTAATTATTAAAATTAAGTAATTAATTATTAAAGGTATTTAACAGTGTTCTCCCCTAGGCCTTAATATGATGACAAGCAGCTGTAGACCACAGCCAGACCTCTTTAAAGTTACTGTGACCTTTACAATGCCAACGATTAATTTTAAAAAATTTAAAGGCTAGTTTGAAACAGATCAATTACTATTTCCTTGGTCTTACCTGGATGTTCTGTCCTGAAACTGTTTCTACATTTGTAGTTGCAGTGATTTTTCTTTGGCTGATATGACAGGAGAAGGAAGGAAAATACAGTCAGGTCCCTTTCTCCCAATAAATGCCACAGCAAATGAGTTTTGTTAAATCAAAGGGATGGGATTTCAAATTTATATCACTTATAGCAAAATATCTTTCTGTTTTATCGCCCAATCCGCATAAGAAAAGATGCAAAGGTTGCAGAGCCAAAATGAAGGAACAATTTACCACTTCCTTCATGGTATACAGTCCTATCTTCAGCCCTAGAATTACCATAATTCTTCCACAACTCCCTCCTACTTTACTTTTCCCCTCATTGTACATTTCATTACAAGAGCAACATTGTAGTCCTTGAAGTGCAATAGATTCACTGCTGCATTAGTAAACTGAGTTGATGCTCATGGTGACCCAGCAGTGTCTGCATGGGTGGGGGTGAGAGGCAGGCAGAGTGACATGATGCAAACCCCGCCCCTTTTGTGTGGGTGTCATGTTCTGAAGGGTTGGGAGCACGCTGCAATGCTCTACCTGCCGTCTTGCCAAATTCATCCCCCTCTCCCCTCCAGATGCTGCCGTGACAAACTCTGGTCAATAATGAAAGAACTGTGGGATGATTTCGGTTAAATTTTTGGTATACGTACCTTCCACAGAATCTCCAGAGATAAATGGAGAGTGAAAATCCAAGAATTCCCAAAAGACCAGTAAGACAGCTATAGAGAATTGTCATTGTAGAACTTTTCCTTTCTTCGTGTCTATCTGAGAATTTGCAAAGTGTGAGAATAATAAGTAGGAGAGATTATAGCCTCCATAGATTTAATTGACAAATAAGGCATCAGAAAAAGAAAACAGAATTATTGGTTATAATTCAGATATGTTCCTATGCAGGTTCCTCTTTTCTAATTAAAAAGCTCATTTTAAGTCTTTTATATCTACTTTGTATCCAAAGCCACACAATATTTTGTATTCATTGTGAAATCTTTTATCACTTTCTTTAAGCTGTAAGAACCCATGGCAATAAATATTAATGGTGCACAGCAGGAATGCAAATATCCAGCCTTTCCACAAAAGTAACTGGAATTTTTAATCTGTACAATTTAGGCGGAGTTATTTTAATGTAACAGAGGGAATCACTTATATTCTAGCTACCCTAATTGTTTGAAGAAGGGAATATTAAAGAGTACTTTCTTTCTAGGAAGTAAAGGAAGAGTACTTTCCTTCTAGTGTTAACAGCATTGTTAGTTCTAACTTACATTCTGAAATTCAGTGACTTTTTAAAATAATTTCATAACTAGTACCTATACCAATAGTTTAATAATAAGCAAAACCTTTTCCCAATCCACACTGCTTAAGCAATTAACATAAAAATAATTAGAGAAATATTTAAATCAGTTATTAACATGCAGGAATCATTGAAGGAGGATCATTCTAGTTAGGAAAGAACATTGTCCAGCAGTAGACCTTGTGTCTTGCATGCAGGTGGCCTGACTAACCTCTGGCATCTCCAATTAAAAGGAGATGATAAGAAAGTCCCTAAAAAACTTTGTCTATCAGAGTAAATAGCACTGAGCTAGATAAACAACCTGATATTTTCTGATTATTTCACTGATTATTCACTCATTTAAAATGTCAGCAGAGAATAGAGACCTCCAGATTAGCATCAACCAAATGTGACTTGGCAAGTGAAATGGATGATTAAGTGCTTAAAGTTACCTGATAGATTTAAGATGCGTGGCTTTTCCCAAGTAGGATGGAAGATGAAGCATGTAAGTTCATCTTCCTTAATATTTGCCATATTATATGTACTGATGATGGTCTTTGTGCCATTTGGCAATGTTTCAGACACAATTGTAGAGTATCCTGGGGGATTCCATGAGATCTGTGAATCTGGTTTCCCTGCAGCCGCCTTGCACACAGCCGTGCCATTGCTGTGAGTCAAGGACACTTTTGGAGATACTAAAATAAAATGGGACATATAGGAAATAATTAGTTACATTTACCAAGCATGATAGGATAAGTCTTATTCAGGATTTACACTAACACCTATTCAATGTTAGAGGCATCCTGCTATCAGATTTCCAAAATGCAATTGCTAATCAGTAAGCATATGATAGATAAAACAGGAAAATATCCATGTTTACACTGTAAACACAAGAAACACACCTAATAACCTTGAGAAGTAGAAGTTGCTAGAAAAACCCATGTATTCTGAGCAATCAATAATATGTATGCTCAGATTGCTGCCATATATTTAGTTCTGGATGAGTTTTTCTTTTCTTGGTTTTCTGTATGTAAACATGAAGAGATTTGAATCATACGTTCCTTCTTTCCTGCACATTTAAGGTGCTTAAAAAAATCAAACAATTCTTTCTTGATTATTAACCACTCTGGAGAAGCAGAGTGGGTGTTCCCTCCCTCCTTTCCTCCCCCTCCTCTTAGCAAGTTTTCCATTCTTGAAACATCACAAATTAATCATCAGTCAACCCTGTGATAATCTCTTCTGGTCAGTTGCACAGTGCTGATAGTAAAATTCCTCTATTGCTCAAAAAAACCATCACAGAAAGCTTCCCCCCCCCCCCGATTTTTGAGGGAAAATAGCATCAGGAAAAACGGGTTGGAACATATGCCAAATGTTCCATGAGTGAGCATTCCATGAGCAGTTAATCCAATGAAAGGATAACCGCTGTGAAGTCTAGCCCTGCTCCAGGAAATGATGGGCAGATAAATATAAATGCATTATGATCACATATTCTATTGAACTGATGCTGTACCAAAATATTCTTAGAATACCTATAGGGATTGGAATGGAACAGCAAGGCCTTAAAGGACATGATGAGTATATAGAAATATTGCATATTTATGTATTCATGTTGGCATTTGAAAAATATGGAATATGGAACTTCAAATCCCTTGTCTTCTCAATAATTAGCAATTCTTACATTTTGCCAGGTGTTTAAATGCAGATAATTGTTCAGAATAAAAGTGGCTGCTACTCCATAACAATCTGCAACTACTCTTACCCATTTCTGAAAGCAGAAGGATGGTACACATTTCCTAGAGAATGCCTGGAAATGGGAAAGCTGATGGCAAATGTCCACAATAAACATAAACAAGGACTACTCAGACACCTCAGGGAAGGCAGCCATAATAGGCACCATCTTGAACTAATAATGCTGAAGGTACTTCTTTGCCTTAAGTACATTAATGAAGCAAGATATTACAAGAACAAGTAAAAGCAGAATAAATGTATTAATCCTGAAAGTATGTTTTATAATCCCTTTAAAAACTAGATTGAAATAAATTTCATTTGAAACTTCATTCTGAAAATTCATCCCGCTGCCAGCCATTACGACCATGGCAATTCTACATTGTGCATATTGATTAAAATAATTATTTGTTAATGAATTGCAGTAGTAATCAAACTAGAAGCTGTAATAAGAGGAAGATCAAGAGTAGTGCTGGTTTGTTTTCATTTGATTTTAAAGAATCTGTTGGTGGCTTATATGTTTTTTCTAAGTTTGCATTTAAATGATACTATAAACTGTTCTGAGATATCTGAAAAATAATGATATAAACATTTGGGAAAAAAGAATATAATAGTTCTGACTATAACAATCTAAGATGATGATTTTAAATATGTTGTTTCTTACCTAATATAGTTAGGTCATATTCATGGTTTAATATTCCTTTAGCAGTAGCAATGAAACATGTATATGTTCCTTCACTGAACATTTGAAATGACTTTATCTGAACAGCAGACTCTTCTTCTGGTCTAGACATCCAGTCCATGTTCATACTGCAGTTTCTGGCTATGGTATTGTTCTCTCTCTTAAATGATAAATAGCACTGTGTTCCATTCTTAAATTTCACCTTCCATACTGTCATATTATATGTTTCTGGAGGACAGTACAATTCAATGGTTGTTCCAAGCACTGCAGATTTACTGGATTTATCTGGAAAGATATAGAAAGAAATATTATCAAGTATTGTTATAGGTAAACAGGAGGTAAGGGAGATGTTGCAGACTACAACTTGGCCTGTTAGTACCCCCAAAAGATAGTTTTAAAAGGTGATTTTCCTACTATCTTAGAAAGATTTCCCCACAAAAAAGTACCCATATGCCAATATTTATTTGCTTCTTTGTTAAATTGATCCATATGGCTGCCCGTCTCGTAAATGTGACTCTGGGCAGCTAACAATGCATAAAAGCAATAAAAACAATATTAACAAAGAGTACAATCTTCCAGTGATCTCTGTGAACCCAATGTGTTATACCCTTTCAAAATAAGCTAAGTTATGCAAAGCATAGGAAAAGACTAAGAAGTAGTAAAAAAAAAAAGAGAAGAAATTAAAGGAGAAAAGAAACAGAAATCTAACTAAATTGAATTTACATTAAAATAATTTACTATACTTCTCCCTACTTTTCTACCTGTGCAAATCACCCTTGCTTCTGTCACATTCATGCATTGGTTTATCCAGTGCCATTTTGTTCTTTAGCATTCTCACCCCTCTCTTTTTGAGGATCTCAGCAACTCCGTCCCACCATGATTTTCTCTGTCAGCCCTTTTTCTTAACCCATTCATTCTTCCCTCATTTGTTTGTTTTGCAATTCAATTCTCATTCGCTCTCTCTACATGGCCAAACCACTTGAATGTACTTCTTTCACACTGGTCGCTTACTTTTGTATCATTCAGCACACATTCATTTACGATCTTGTATCTTCTGGTTTTACCACATACTTAAGTATTTCCACTGTGTTCAGCTTACTTTTTTGTTTCTCTTGACATATCCAACTCTCATTTCCACATAACCAAGTATGCAGAGGCACACTTCTTTTGACAAATGTTCATTCCTCACAACAGACCACATTTATTTATTTATTTAGACATAGATACTACCCAACTCCAACTGACTCTGGGCAGATCACAGTATAAAAAGCAAAACAACAAAATGCAATGTATAAAAACAATATGGTGAATCCAGTCAACAACAAACTTATTATCCACCCAAGAAGGGGCTCTAACCATCCTAGTCCAAAGCCTGGGAGAAGAGCCAGGTTTGAAGGTTCTCCAAAATGCCATTGGGGTAGGAGCCACCTGGATCTCTGGGGAACCTCATTCCAGAGGGCAGGTGCCACAACGTAGAAGGCATGCTTAAGCAAAGGCGCCAGAAGTGTGCCAACCCCATCAGATCAAACTGGCTAGGCAATGCCACAGGAGATAAGCGATTCCTCAAGTAACCAGGCCCTATGTCATATGGGCATTAACAGTCATAACCAGCATCTTGAATCACACCTGGACACAAACTGGCAACCAATGCAGCTCACAAATCAGGGGTGTCTCATGGGCGTACCAAGGCATGCTGATCACTGCCTGTGCTGCTGAATTCTGGACCAGTTGAAACTTCTGTGTGGTCTTCAAGGGCCTGATATAGAGCTTATTGCAATAATTGAACTGTGAAGTGACTAGGGCATAACTGACTGTCTGAAGAGACTCCTGATCCAGGAAATGGCTCAACTGGTACACCAGATGAAGCTGTGCAAAGGCCTTCCTGGCCACAGTTGCCAACTGCTCATCAAGCAGGAGCTGTGAGTCCAGGAAGACTCCCTCAGTCTTGAACGGGGAAGTGCTACCCCACCCAAGGTTAGAGATACTATCTTTCTAGCCGGATTTACATAGCTTAAAAATTTGCAAATCCATTTTTCCATTTTAGATAAACATTCTACCAACTTACTCATACTTGCTCTATTTTTTCACCATTTATGTATAACTTCTAAGTTTCATTTCACTTTCCCTATCAAAGACAACTGCCTTTAATGCATTAATTTTCAGGTTCATATTCCTCATTGCATCATACAATCTAACATTCCCTGAAAATCATTCAGGTTTTCAGTAAACAGCACAGTATCATCTGCATATAAGAGAACACACACATTCATTTTTATATTGTGAGGACAGCTGTGGCTGGAAAGTATTGTTTTTCAATGATGCAGCCTCTCTCCAGAAGTTAGATTGCTGCCCTTGATAATAGCACTCCAGAAACCGCCGAAGGCTGAACTTATTCAGAGGGTGTCTGGGACATAATCCTTCACCATCATCCACCCTTTTTAATTACATTTTTCATTTTTATTGCTACTATTGGTTTAGGGCTTTTTTAGTTGCTTGAGGCTCAAGTGTTATAAGGGCTGTGTCATATTTATTTATTTTTATTTTCTTATCATGGATATTTTATCATATTTGATTTTGCCTGTGATGGATGTCTTTATTGTACGTTATTTTGTTGTAACCCACTGCAAGTCAGAATGATTTGGTAGCCTACATGTTTAATAAATAGTAATGTCCCTAATAAACACTCTCCTAATATCATCATAAGCATTCTTTATACATTTATCTATAAATAGATTAAAAACCAAGAGGGAGTATTATTATGTATCAAACCATCCCTGATCTTTCCATAGCATAGGATGGTTTGATCAATATTTTAACAAAGGAGATAGATGATTTAATATATGACACAATTGCTTGGTCTACTGAATTAATAAATGTGGCATTACCTCCAACAAGCAGATACTAGCTTTGGACGACATCTTTGATTTAAATGAAATGTTGATGAGATACCACACTATTTTGAAGGATCTCTCCTGATAGGGATAACCCTATAAAGAGTCATATTTATATTGTATGAGAATATGTATAAAGAATACATTTATATTCTTTACTGTACTGTAATATCCAAGTTAATGCTACAAAACTGAATAAATTATTGATCTCTGAAGTAACATGCAGGAATTTATTAAACAAGGCACCCTAATGCCTGATTTATAGTCCAGATGAAAATAACTAAATCTTTATTCACTAGAGTCAAATATGAAAGTGGCTTCCAGAATCATTTAACTGGATACTGCAGTTCTCACATTAAATTGGCATGCATCATTAGGCATGTATACATAGCAATGTGAACTCAGTATGGCATGGTGTTTAGATTAGAACCAAGGCAATACTGTTTCAACTCACCAGCCATTGTAATGATCGCAGCATGAGCTGGCCATTTTTCCTCTATTAACATAATCTGGATTGTTGTGGGTATAAAATGTGTGAGGGAAGAACAATGTGTACAACCCAGAACCCTTTGGAGGAATTGTGGAATAAAATATAAACAAATAACAAATGCAGACAAATAATAAATAAGTAAGTACCAAGTACATATGTTACTATAACCCAGATTTACCCACTGTCTCACTCTACTATGACTCTTCAGGTTATAATTATAAATACGCATATATAATGCCATAACCAGTCGGAGAATGATGAAGATAATGCCTATTCCAGTTAGGCTCCACTGACTTCTCCAATACTGGAACTCAAATTATGCCATACTGTTACACATGGTTACTATGTCTAAATCAACCAGGCAATCTATAACCTGGAACATCACTGGCTAAATCAGACAAAATAATAAAAATAACATGTTTTAAAACACTAAATTAGGTATAGTATTTAGAATGCTAAGTGCCTGATAGAAAAGAATAAAGAGAAAGAAGAAGAGAGGAGAGATTTGAAAATCAGCTTACTTTCTTACTTTGCAGAAAGCTTTATATTCAGGCTATTTTTGATATCAGTGTTTATATGCAAACACTGTATATGTGCAGTCAATGCATTTCTTCACTGGCTTGAAACAAAAGTGTGTCCATAACTTCCTTATATAATGGGAAAAATTCAGAAATGGAAAATTGTTCCCTGTAGATTTTGTAGATTTGCAACTCCCAGCAGCCTCTGCCAATATTGACAATGATGAGGGATTCCTGGAATTGTAGTTCAGCAACATCTGGAGGACCACAGGTTCTCACCCTTGCTTGACAAGAAGTGGAGCTGAAATCCTCGGACTCCATATGGTCATTCTTCTGGCATATACTACTGTTATATCCCTTTTCTATTCTTTTACCATCAGATAGACGAGTCTCTATCAAAAAATTTACATACTACAATGCTCACATTTTATAAGAAAAATATGCACCATAACATTGTGACTTACTTTCAGCATGATAAAGCAAGATCCATTGCTTTAGGAATATAGGGGTAGAAAACTACCTACAAAATATTCTTTTTTAAAAAATTACTTGCCTTCTAAACATGTCCCAGATCTTTTGCAAAATCTCCTACTCCTTTGCAAAACAGAGAGGCAAATATTACAAGAAAAAACCACATCTTTATTGTCTTTAATATGCTGGACTTACCGATTGCTGTCATGACCATCATAATAGTGAGAAGGGTCCAGACACCCCAAATCTTCATAATAAAATCACTGCATTTTGCTTCCATGGTTCACACAATTGTTTCTCTATTTGATCCATTCTGTTGTACAACTATCTATTGTTATAATGAGCATCTTCTGGTGAATATTTTTTATTCCAGATGGCATCTTTCTACTGCTTTCAACATCCTTTAATTTCTGCAGCAACTGATTAACAATTTTGCTTCTGCCAACTGCCTTCGCACTGTGCAAGACTTCCTGTGCTTACAGTCAAAAAGTGATCACTGAGGAAACAGATCAAGCATTTTTCTTGTTTGTTCCCTAAACAAAGCTGCTGTCTTGTAATGATAAGTTTTTCCAGTGACATTCAAAGAAAAAGAAAAAGGCGGTCAACAGAATCCAGGCCCTGTCTCAAAACGGAGTCTGCTTCAAGCGAATGATATCTGATTGATAATAATAAGCATTTATTTTGATCTGCATGTAAAATTTCTATCATGCTGTTTCACAAAAATTGCAAAGCTATTACCTAACAAATTGGATATGATTAATACATAAAAACATAGAAATCAATCATAAACTTACTGGCACTTTAGAAGAACATTAAAACTATTGAAAGCAACTTAAAAAGCCAAATGGAATAGATTTGATGACCTCCTTTTCTATTTCACAGAAAGGAGAAAAAAAGTTTACCGTTCTCCAGAAAATTTGATCAGTGGCTTGATTCACTATTCAGGACCACCTGTACAATTAGGCAGAGTTAGCCAACCCTTCAGGCAGCTGATGCTGGAGGGCAGGAATGACAGCCCCATCCTAGACTGTTTCTCCTGAGTTCCCCACTTCGTCTCTGTTAAAGAGAAGAGGAGGAGAAGCTACATGACCTGCTCTGAGCTCCCTAAACGAGCGTACTGCCTTGGGTGTGATGGAAGATACTATGGATCGTGAAAGCACCATGCCATCAATTGTCTTAGTCAACAAAACATCACTGTTGACATTTTTTGACATTTTTACAGTGTAGTAAGAAAAAATTGACTACCTTTTTAAAAATCTTCAAGCTTCCCCAATACTGTATTTTGCAGAGTTCATGAACAAAAACATTGAAGTAGGACATTACAAAGAAGTGTGAGAGAAAAAACAAAAGCAGAATGCTTAAATTAGGCACCGAGGGTTCGGTTCCCACATTACTTTTAGTGGGTGTTTAAGATTCAAAACAAGTTTGCACAAAGGAAATAACTGCATTAATTTCCACTAACATGACTCAAAATGGTATAATCATAGTTTAGTTTTCTAATAAATACTGCATTTCTGCTAAAGTTCCCTTTGATAACAATACAGTCTTTATAGAATTCAGACATTGTTAGGGTTAGGATTATGCTTGAGGCTATTGCTGCACTTTCTACCTTCCTGTTAATCTTTAATTAATATTTAAAAAAGAGCTAGGACAAGGAGGTTAGTGGGTAGCAAGAAACATGTGAGCAGGCCCACTAATGAATTGGGGCACTGAATATGTAGTATTTATAATCACAACTTCAACTCAAACCTCATCAGTTTTTGACTTCTCCCTTCTCCCTGTGAATGTCCCTGCCTGAAGCTGCCTCAGGTGTCTGATTACATGCTGATACTCTGGGCTACTCTATCTGGTCTGCCTCTTCAGCATCAGCCTTTAGATCTAGAAGAGACCATAGTAAAGATCAAAGTGGTTTGGAGCATCTCAGTAGAGATTGGCAGCTTCTCCCCCAAGCTCGTTCTGCATACCAGCAATGGGCACGGCCAGTGGTATATCTGGTATGACCGTAATCAAAATCAGGGTCAGTCACTCCTTACTTGTCCTCTCACAAACATATATATGCTCACTCTTATATACTTATATACATAGACACAATCTTCCTATCTTCTCATTCTGAAACACACACTCAGCTTTTGCAAGTATTTCACACTCTTACCGAATTTCCAGCTTTTGAATGTTGCACATACACACAGACCTGGTCTCACACCCAAGCATACTGTCGCAATGGGAGATCACTGCCTTAACTTTTTTTTCTGCCCAGCTGACTGGTGTTTGCTGAGGAATGTGCAGTTGAAATAATCTCAATGAATAAACAAATGTTTTGCAACTGAAATTCACCCTAGTCATGCCAGTTCCTCTTCTTTTTCAAAAGATCAAGTTCAGTGCACTGAATAACAAAGCAACAACTGGATATCACTAAAACTCACCAAATTTGTTGGTTGTTTATAGAAACATCTGCAGTCACCAATATTTGTTATGTTATTTTATAATTTATAAGCTTACCAAGTTTATTACAATTCTGGGTGGCATACAACACACAAAATTTGAAATAAGACAATCTCAACAATATAAAAAGAATATTCAGAGAAGAACAGCCAACATTTCATAAATCAGGACTAAAGGTAAGGCATGTCCAAATTGGGTGGTCCATAGCCACTAAGTCTTGGCAGGGTTAAGTTGAACCTTTTTCTTCCCATCCAGTCATCCACAGCCTTAAGGCCCTGGGGCAAGACCTTGGCCTGGGACTAAGATATACAACTGGGTATTAGTAGCATACTAATGATACCTGACTCCAAATATAGATGACCTCATCCAATAGCCTCATGTAGATGTTAAACAGGTGCAAGAGCATCAAGCTTTGAGGCATCCCACATGTCAGAGGTTTCTGTCACCTACTGGATCTGACCAAATAGAAAGGAGGAACCACTGGAACCCTTCTTCCCATTCCCATTCCTTGCAGGCAATCCAGAAGAATACCACAGTTGATTATATCAAATGCCACTAAGAAAAAAACAGAACCAGGACAATAGCACTACCCTGCCCTGCAAGAAGTTATCAACAGGTGTGACCAATGCTGTCTCAGTACTAGTCCTGGCTGAAATCTGTCTGAAAATATCCCAAATCCTCCAGGGCCCTCTGAAAGTGTAACCCAACCAGCTTCTCAAGAATCTTCCCCAGAAAGGGAAGGTTGGAGACTGGATGAAAATCATAGTTTCAGGATAGTTGGATCTAGTGAAGGATTCTTGAGAAGGAGGCATTAAACTACCTCTTTGAAGGCAGGCAGTATCACTCCCACTCTCAGGCAGTCTTCACCAGCCAGTAGGGGCATGGATCTAATAAGCAGGTGGGCAGGTTAATAAACCAGAGGGCCCTGTCCACTTTTTCAGGAGTAACAGTTTAAACTTGCCCCAGTTAACCAGACAAAACCTCACTTCTGTCACCTTGACAGGGCTTGCCCAGGCAGAGTCCAATTCCCAGTGAATTCAAGTAATTTTATTTACCAGATGCCTAAAATATTCCTTCTGGTGGCCATCCAGATGGTACTATGGCTCCTCCCTCCTCAGCAAGGAATAGGTGACTTTAAAGAGAGACACTGGACAGTTGTCTGTGCATATGATAAGAGAGGAGAAATTACCATATTTCACCACCCTAACTGCCACAATGTAATCCCTAATTCTCCAGGCTTTGTCTAGGGTGGATGGAGGCCCTCTTAGGTGTATGATATCTGTTTTATGGGTTGACCAGATTTGTCAGCTGTTTACTGTTATGTAGATTGTTATTTTTTATATTGCTTGAATTGCAAACCACCCAGAGTCAGTCTGAGGTCAGGCAAAACCTAAACCAAAAGTATAAATAAGTATGTGAGCTCTTACTCGTACTCAGTCGGGTTCACTCTTTGTTTCCTCCCGAATATGTATGAGCTTGCTGTGGTCACCCTGTTGTTCAGTACTAAGATCACAAAATCAGGATCAAGAATATGCATAAATAAAAGCAGATGATTAATAGTCAAAGTATAGCTGCAAAACCCCAACAGTATTGTTAAAGAAACAAATTTACCTAAGGTGACTTATCCGCAGGTAGTGTAAGATGGTAAGCCTCGCATTACCATGTGTTCACACTATGCTCAAAGTCTAAACAGGAAAGTTATGATAATTTTGAGGGTTTGCGTAGCTAGAAGTCATACATGACCACTTTCCTTAGTGGTTACCTGTGGTGTGTGTCACTTCTAAATAGCTACGGAAATTAAATGGCCATGAATATGCAGGAAGTTTATAAACAAATTAAAAGAAATATTTTGTTTAATTTCTTTACCTTATACTTTCATTCTATTAAAAAATTCCAAAGTGGGTATACAGGTCATCACAAACAACTGCAACTTGTTTTTTTTTTATTTTAAAAATTCAGAAATAACTGTTAAAATAGTATGCAGGTAGTTCCTGGGTTAAGAATGCCCAGATTTAAGGATGACCCATAGTTAAGAATGGAGCCTACTGTGGCAAAATTCGAGTTAAATATACAATGATTTGAGTTAAATACCCAATGGTTCATGTTAATTACACAGTACTACTTACACACTATTATACAATAATA